AAGTGAATCCAATGTACTAAAGATTTGGAGAGTTTATCATGACTGTCATCAGTTCTTGGATGTTCTGCTTCAAGATATTGCAACAGAAACCTATGAATGCGTTTTTCTGGATCTTCTAGATTACTTGTGCTTACTGATAGGATAGCACTCCTTGAAGATCGAAAGAAATTCTAATTTGAACCGTTAGACTGAAGATGTGGTGCGGTTGAAAGTATATGACGTTGTCATAAATCAAAAAAGCGTGTTGGTAAAATTATTTGCAATGAAATGGTTTCCATTATCTGGTACTGACACATTACGTAATCCTTCATGATCCATCGTCCTGTGAGTAATGTGTCCGCTAGCACTGCTCATGAATACCACGTCTAGCCATTTTTTAAAATATGAATCAATATGAACTGAAGTACAGTTTAACTTTAAAAACCGTGCCACAGTAATTCGCATAAATGCGTTGCCACGATTCAAAAGATGTAAGTTAGGGATTCCAAGTACGTTTATTATACGACAGCTTATACAAACAAATGCGACAGTTTTTAGATTTATGGCTTGTATCAGCGTCAATCTCAAGCGATCAACAAATCTCACGAGCAAGTGGTTCTATTTTCTCTTTTCACACATGGATGAAAATAATATAATCTAATACTGAAGATTTGAATGTAGAGTGTAACAAATTTCCATCATGGAAAACGTTCTTTCAGAATGTAATAATATATCTTCCCTCCCCTTACAAAACTCAAAACATCTACGTTCGCACAGAAAATCTCAACACCATTTCACTTCATTTATGACAATTCCAAAATACTAACGATTAACCTTCACTACTTCTGCTACATCAATTGGTAATGGTTGAACTAACATACAATTACTTTCAACAGCTGGTTTTCAAAATGTGAACTAACAAGCACTCTAATCTGAATTCCATCTCTCGTCGATTGCAACGGATGACTGATGAAGTGATTTTTTTATTAGTAAGTAAATCTTAATGCCTAGTGATCAGTTGCAATATGAATCTTTGCATAAAACAAGTGTTTGTGCAGTCTTTTTAATTTGAATTGCTTGATTGTCTCAAAACAAAGAAGGCAGGATCCCTACTCTGTACCGAAACCACCCTGAAATTCAAAAGATATGCATCTCTAGTAAATACAGACTTTTCAGTCTGTGAAAGCGGTCTGAGAAGAATCTCTCTGTCAAAAAACCTCTTACTCAGGCTAAATGCGTCCTTCAGAAATATTGGACGTTACATATCTGATTGAAGTAACATTTTCTTGTTAACCAGAAAAAATAATCCAATGTGCCATTTTGCGTGAGTCCAATCAAACATACTTTGATTCTGTGTCTCTTAATCTAGATGAAATACTGGAATTTCGGTTGGTACATTGCTGATGCCCTTCATCACGTAATCTCAAACAAACATTATAGTGAGTATCCTATTTGATGACTTTCGTCTAGGTTTCTGAGTGAAACCTATCCCGAAACAGTCTGCTATGTCGTTTGCCTTGTCGTGATCTTCCTCTGTCATTTGAGACACATTGTCTTTTTTAGTTAGAATGACAATCCAATGATGTGTTCTCTTTCTGTGATTGATATGCAATAGCAGTCGCTTAGGCTGTGTGATGACACATTATGTTGAATGCTTCTCATATTTTCGTTGCGCTGCTCAAACTTGGCTCATACGCTTATCTCTGACCGACCTGCATTGTTCCGTCGTATTTCGTTTGTCAACGTTGGTGGCGATGTTTCGACGTTTCAAATTTTTTGCTACCAAAAGTCAAGTATCACTGTTTATTCAGATATGGCTGTTGTTTATCTGTTTTGGGACTGTGGAGAGTATAATTGATCACTTGATTGCATAACCACTGGCGATGAGTACATTTCTCTCTCATCAATGCGTCAGAATCAATTTTCTAATTTCCCGTCTAGTCAGTGGAGTTGATCACCTTTGCATATTCCTTTCACACGTTAGAATGTAACGGGACATCTGCTCGATAAACTAGATCAGCCATGAATTCACATTAGATAGCCATATGATTAATTCTCCCTACAGGTGGAAGGAACTTTATTTGACTTGAATCGCTAAATTTGGTGAATGCTAACTCTGACACAGATAAAGAGAATGGCTGATTATTTCTGATGACATCTTTAATGCAGCAGAATAAACTTCAAGAGGTAACGGCTTCTAACATTTTGTTTTCGAAAAGTGTTATTGATGAAACTTTTCAGATTCTCCAGTTTGTAGAGAGTTCATTGAGCCATCAATTATAAGGCCTTTTAACCTGTTTTATCAGGTTCTGAGTTTATGTGAAAAGAATTTATCCACTACTCATTCTGAATGGTAGCATCCTATAAATAAACCAGCGTCTTACCCTTCGAGATTTCAGCCGGCTTCCCTCCGGTTCACAGGTCTCTCAATCATGTGTCTTCGCCTTAACAGATTGAGTTGTTAAGGTACAATTTTCATAAACACGGCGACACTGCCGTCAATACCGTTTAGTATTTCAGCTCTACAATGTCAGAAACCAAGCAACCGAATTTCACTATCATACAATTCTGACGTTAACGCATTTCATCAAATGCCAGTGACATCAAGGTTTTCTGTATCTACCACATTTTGAGCACTGTCATTTTATTTGGCAGACTGCAAACATTCTTATATCATACTTTAAATCCTGCGGATTGGTTTCCCATATCATCCAGAGTGATTTGGAGATCACTTTATTCCGGAGTTTAACACTGTGCACCTGAATCTACTGAATATTCATCAATATCTTCAGACCAATAACTTCTCATAAATTTTCACATTAGCTCAACTTCATATGTAGTTAAAGTACGCTAACGTTTATTGAGTGATACAGGGAGGAAAAGCGGCTAGCTCGAGTATATACTCGGAGCGCGTTTTTTCAGCAGGTGTTGTTATGCCTGGGTAATTTATCGTAATGTTTATTGTAAATGTCAGTCATATCAAAAATACGGCCCTACTGTCTATCTTTTGGAACTGGATTTTATATAGGTAAGAGTACTTGTTATGAAAATCACTCCTGTTTAAGTTGCAAGAATAATTTCCGAATGAAAGGAAACAACGGTTAGCATCTTTCCTATCTATTGCTCCCAATAAAAAACCTCACATACATTCTTTGTGTAAGATTTTACGTTCTGTATTAGTAATCTGCCATGATCTTTCTAGGGCAGACAGTGAACTGTATCAATAATGAAAGGTTCACTCACAAAATAAAACTACGATTATCAGTCTCAATGACTTCTAGCCAATGTAAACTAAAAGTACAGGGAATGTACCTGATAAAATTGAACTGCTATTATGATTTGATGGCGTATGTCCTAATCGCTGTTAGACCGTGATGAACATCTCCAAACACCTTATTGCCTACCGATAATGAAATAGATGACCTCAATGTGGAATTGTTGCCCATTGATTGTAACATAAATAATCTAACAGACAAAGACATCTTGACGCCATTACAGAATGAAGTGTCAGTAGATACTTAATTCTTTAGTTACGACTATGATTCCGATTTATAGTTAGTGCTAGGGTTTAGGATTAGAATGTCAAGTTAGAAATTCATGTCTATATCTAGGATTAAGGTTTAGAATTTAAGGAGTGTTGCAGATTGTAATTAGTCTATATTTGCCGTAAATACTAACTAACTTCAAGTCCTAAAGTATATCCTAACAGTAAATTTAGACCATTAATTCTGTATACTGATCCTAACCTTAATTCATAAAATCTACATCCAAATGCTAAACTTGAAAACCTAATCCTAATCCTGGGTCTTAATCGTGAACTGCAATACTAAACCAAAATCTTAATTTTAGAACTATAAGTCACTTGTTTATATCCGTTGCATTCTGATTGGCTGAGTAGATTGAACTTATCAGTAATATTTATTGAGTCGCTCGAGCACATCCTTACAGTTATCTAGAACAGAAACGCTGCCTATTTTCCAAAGAAATTCAGTCTCGGAAATATAGTTGTTCATTCTTACTTCTCCAAGTTCTCAATAATGTTAAACTGTGATTACTCGCAAATCAAAATATCAACTCTCAACAAGTTCATACTATTCTTTGCGATAAATCACATTTACTATTCAACTGAGTTGATGTAACTTGTGTTTATAAACGCTTATAACAGACGAGATATTGATCCATAACTCAGTATTTAAAACTCAAGCACTTATCTTACAAGTGACAAACAGCTCGTCTTTGATAAATAATTGCATAACCACTGATTTAGTTGTGGATCCAGAAAAGAAAACGATTAACGTCAGCGCTATTTATTGGTGCCAGCCTGGCTTGATTCCATTTCTAGAACTTAAAAGGTCTGCCATTTATCATTCAAGTGAGCTTCATCAAGGGACTTAAACAGACAGTTGGAATTACTGCTTTCTAAGTTTATATCTGATTAAGGTGCTACTTAGAAATGGTCCTAGATAGTGACTAAATTGTTTAAACACCTTTTTGAGTGTTCTATCAAGAGTTCAAACCTTTCTCCCTCTTAACTCACACTGAACAGCTGACTATTGCCAGTCTTTAGGAGGAAACGTGTGCCACACAAACAACTTTATAAGCTTGTACTTGATTGACAAGTCGTATAAAATTGGAAGCGGATAGTAATTTAATGCTCATTCTTATGTTGTTTCAAGATGAATATATTGAGGATCTTAGGTATAATTTTTAATTCGAGAAACACATGTAGTTCTAAGTAAAAAAATTGTCTAAATCATATTATTTGTGCAATATCACAGGCTGGCAACCTAACAATCGTTAATCACCAGATTACAACCTAGTGATAATAGTACAAGTTCACCACTGGTCTTGAGTGTCACAAATGTTTGTTACTATATTATGGAGGGTACACGGAGCTGGTAAGTTTCAAGCGGTATCGAAATAGCCGTCCATTAATTTCTGGATAACACCATTTCTTTTCACTCACAGTGCGCTTTTCTTATTTATGCGAAATCTATGACTTTTCATTGTTTCTGTTGGAGATGTGTGACAAACCTTTCTTTTATAACCCCGATATCGATACGAAAATTGCCGGTTTATATGATCTACAACATACAATTGGACGAGGACATTATGCTGTTGTGAAACAAGCACGCCATGTATTTACTGGTGAGAAAGTTGCAGTGAAAGTAATCGACAAGACCAAACTGGACAATGTTTCACGAGATCATTTGTTTCAGGAAGTTGTATGCATGAAACTTGTTCAGCATCCAAATGTGGTTAGATTATATGAAGTTATTGACACGCCAACCAAATTGTATCTTGTTCTTGAGTTAGGTGACGGAGGAGACCTATATGATTACATAACAAGTCATGGCGATGGTCTAAGTGAAAAAGTTGCAAAACGGTATTTTCGCCAAATAGTAACTGCCATTGCTTATTGCCACAAGTTAAGAGTGGTTCACCGAGATCTAAAACCAGAGAATGTAGTTTTTTTCGAGAAACTGGGTTTGGTTAAGTTAACAGATTTTGGATTCAGTAATAAATTTATTCCTGGCACTAATTTAGACACAGCTTGCGGCTCGTTGGCTTACTCAGCTCCGGAGATATTGCTGGGTGACTCATATGATGCTCCAAAAGTGGATATTTGGTCTTTAGGTGTGATATTATATATGCTTGTCAGCGGAAATTTCCCTTTTCAAGAAACAAATGATAGTGAAACGTTAACGAAGATCATGGATTGTGATTATTCCATGCCTTCACATTTATCACCAGACTGTAAGCGGCTTATTTCTCGTTTACTAATACGTGATCCACAAAAGCGTGCTCATCTTGATGATATCCTTCCCAGTCGCTCAGACTCAGATACCTCATTTCTAGAACATCATGACACTAGTCATTTACCCCCTAACTTGGACCACTCTTTTTCTCCAGAAGAGCCTTCAGATGAATCTTTCACGCAAAATGAGACAAAGTGTTCAGGTACAATTACCGAAATAAGTGATATGATTAGGAATAACCATCGCAGTATTTTGCCGTCAATCTCTGGAATGAATAAAAGAGGTTCTACTAGATCTCCGCATCGTACTCTTAGCAATTCTCGTAAAACTGCTAGTTGGTGTAGTTCCGCACCTATATTGTGCGAAACATCTGAACAGCCCCATTTGACTTTTGTGCCATCGAATAATATTGGGCTGACCACTTTATCACTTGAAGGTAACTCTCAGTTGGGTGGTTCGAATACGGTTCGAGAACATTGCACTCCAATACGTGAAGAAGATGACGAAGTAGTACGTTCTGGAGAATCTACTTTTAAGACACCTAATCTGTTATTTGGCTTGAATCACCGAAGGAAGTCTGAATCGTCAAGTATGCATACAAGTTCAACTCTTTTCACGACATCCAATATTACCCGTGATGGATTCGCAACTTTGGCTGAATCGGAGTCAACTTCAACCATTAGTCAGTTACCCAACACAAGTGCTCAGCGAAACGATGCTTTACAAAATGGTGGCAGTTCACAATGTACTACACTTAGCTCTCTCGCAACAAGTTTGCGAGATTCACGCTACATGATCGACATTATACGAGGAACATTTGAATTACAATGTCAGTATAACCGTAGATTTACTAATTCCATTGCTGGAGTTAGCAGTTGTGAATATAATTCTAGCCGACCTAGCACCTCAACGTCTGTTCGTAGCCTCACTGCTATATCAGAAGGTTTCCGTATCGAAAATCAACGAAAAGAAGATTCTCCTTTACAAGATTCACAAAGACTCCCCCTTCATCATCGTGATTTACTCCATCCATTGGAATCCATCTTAAAAGCTTCTACAAAAAGCAATATTTTACAGAATTCCAATATGGTCAAAAATTCTATGAATAGTTGTTTGAATCGTGATTTTCCTGTTACAGGTTCATCTCAGAAAAGAAGGATGAGTTTACCAGCTAGTATAAGTGGCATTACAAACACAGATGTTGCTTGTTCAGTGAGTCCTGTTTTAGAATCGATTGAGAACAATTTCCCTTCCTCTCTTTCTCTTGATCATAGTTCACCCGTAAGATTTGACAATTTTCTTACTCATAACCATAGGAATGGGTCTTGTAAATCTGTTAGTCAATCTACAACTTCATTTAAACGTCCTTCACATTTATCTTCAAAACGAGAGTCTTTTAAGAAGTCGAACATCAGCTGTCTTCCTGATCATGGTTGTAGTATAGTTGAAAACATGAATTCAGAAACCCATAATAATAGTAATAATAACAATAATAATAATATCAGTAATTATTCTGAGTTGTCAAGTGAATCCGTTAACCACTGGACCCATAAATCAAATACGCCAAATCATAAACAAGTATCATCGTTTATACTAAGCAAACATAGAGCTAGATTAGCATGTTGCTCAGTTTCGTGATAATAACTGTAATTTTGTCTTCCATTATTTACACGTAATTTGTATAAATAATTTTCTGTTAGTTTTTAGAATCATTTGTTTAAATCACTATTGTGTTTTCTCTACTTGTTTTGTCTCTTCTTTTTCTCTTATCCCTGATCATGATCAGAAACTGAGATATATTTACGTTTTTATTGTATTTATTTCAGTTCATAGTGCTTTGTTTCACTTTCCTGTATGCGCTTAAGTATGTATCACATATATACTCTCTGTTTTATTTTCTCTATATATCTATCTAGTCCATTGTTCGTTTTGTTCACTAAGCAGCTTAATTACTACAGTAATCTTACCCCGACATTTGAAATGGTATTCTCCCTATTATTATTGTCATTATTATGACTGATTAGTGTTTATGTTACTATGATCATTCTCTTGCCTATACTCCATCTAGTACTACCAGCTAGTCGTATTACGTAGTGTGTCCGTTGTTTTGTAATACACTTTGATTTTGTGATGTTTTAAGATTCTTTGAATTTCTTCTGTTGTGCCATGACGGTATGGTAGAACTACAGTACCAATCCATGGCATTTCATTCGCATCATTATTAGAATGTGAAAAAATGTTTTGTTTTAATATGCTTCTAATAATCTTCATAGGAAAATTATTAGTTCGCTTGAAAGAAAAAATCCCTTTCATGTCCACACAGAACTGCGTCTACAAATTAGGTTGTATCGATTGTGATGCCTATTATATTGGAGAGTCATCCCGCGAAATCTTGACCAGAGCCAAAGAACATATTAGGTACACAAAGAAACCTCCTAACAATCCTGTAGAATTGAACCAACTTCAAATTAAATCGGCAATAGCAGTTCATGCCATTTTCAACAACCACCAAATCGATTTTAAAAATCTCAAAATATTGCAAAAAGGCTTTTCTAACTACAAAGAAAGGAGGGTAGCTGAGGCGTTCCATATAATGCTTAATCCTACTTCTCTCAATAGAAAGGAAGGTCTTACTATACAGCCTACTTGGACCATCTATCCTAACCACTCAGTCTGATCGTATTTACAATTTCACACTATCTTATTACAAATTTAAACTCTATCCTTTCTTACCATAAAGGTCACACAAGTTTTCATTCTTAAGCAATGCACATATACATACACACAAATTTACATACATATCAGTTATGAATCACCTTGACAGAAATGACATGACATCAACTTGTTCAGACTTGTTTTTGATTGATCCAATATTATTCTTGCATTGTTCCGTTGTACTATTTAAACTTGGATGAATTTTAATTTGGTTATTTGTTCTCTGAAGAAGTGACTTACACTAAGTCACGAAACGTAAGAAAATCCAATTTTCTACTCATTGGGATATTACAAATATATTATTTTTATTTATAACAATGAACCCAATGCTCAATTTATTCGAAATTATCAAATCAAACCTTGGTAATGACACCTTCAATACCATAAGTTCGTGGCATCCCACTAAACCATAAGGAGCCGTAATTAAACAAAATGTTCTGCCCTACAGACATGGGTGGATTGAAGTTATCTTCCCACCTTCATGTTTGCTGGTCAGTAACGCCACCCTCCCTCCTTTTGTGATGTTAGGCTCTCTTACGTTTGTGGTAAGTATGAATACTGCTTTAATCAAAGCCCATAGTTGGAATACACTGTCTCTACTAGGTCCATGTTACAAGCAAATCAGATAGTTAAAAAACTTGTTTTATGGGTTAGATGTCCACATAGTATATCACACTGCTATGAAAATAACTAATGGTTTAAAGAAGTAAGGACTAATAGCAAATCAAAAGATATGAGAGGGTATAAAATCGTAGAAAAAAAATTTCAGGGTAAGACAAATAAAACATTGAGAAACTCACAAGACTTTGTGGCCAAATTTTGAACTTTGAATGGTCGGCCTTAGTAGATCAGCATTCATAAGATTGAGCTATCTGTCTACTTGCAGTGGAATAAAAAAAAGGCATGACTTTTAGGAAGAATAATGTACATTTAACCTGTAGAGATTTGGGAACTGAAAGCTAGGGTTAGGAGCATGAAGTCATGATTAATAAACAATTAATAATAGGAAAGGATAAGCCATATGTTCTGTGATTTGGTTATATTCATATTAGTAACAGTCGGACTTGTTATAATTTTGTTCTTTCTAGATACTAGGCGGTCCGTAATAAAGTGCCTCATTGGTGGGCGGGAGTTCAAGGAAATGTTGAAGCTCTTTGGAGTCTAGAAATAGGGTTATTAGCCTTTTGAATCTGATAAACGTATCACAATTACGGATAGGCATTGGCAGCCTGTTCCACAATAAACTGTACCGTACTGTAAAGAACTTACAACGCATTTGTTTTTGGTGTTTTACGGTAAGTAGTGTATATGCGTTGTTTCTAAGTCTATAGGCTGGGTCGTGGGTAATAGTTGGGCAGGAGGTTAGAAAGGAGAGCCCATATATCGCTTTGTAGAGAAATATTAAATTGTTTTTTAGCCTACGGTGCCATAAGGGTTCTAAAGATAGATGCTTACATCTGTCTGTGTAATCAAGATTCGAGTTGCATCCTAGTAGTTGACGTGTGAAACGTCTTTGAACATCTTCTACTCTTGTCTTGTCTGTGATATTCATATTAGAGAATACAAAAGAGCAGTATTCAAGGGAGGGTCTTACACATATTTTGTAGAGAGTAAGTTTACCCTCTGTTGTGACGATTTTGCAGTCAGTCACTAGTGAGCAGATGATTATTATCAGAAGAGGTTTTTGGAGATTTTAGAAATTTTCACAGATTGAAATTATGAGTCAGCTGAAGCTAGACCACCATTGAATACCCGGAAGCATTAGGATCTCTACAAACCTCTTCTGAGAATAAATTTTAACTGACTGTTTAGTTGTTTATCCATGTGAAGAGAATATAAGATTTTAGTTTTAGTGAAGTTTATATTTTGTGTTTGAATAGGTAAAACAATATCCTCTATAATCGTTATGTATGAAGATTCATGATTAAACTACAATTAACCCACAGTACAACAATTAGATCATTCGATTATGAATGTACGTGTGAATGATAGTTATAAATTACAATTGAACTTTTAATTCAATACATTTTATGAACTTAACCATTTTCAGTTATTTAAAATAATAATACTATGAAAAGATCAGAACCAATAAGATTTATAGTGTAAAGTAGGTTCTTTTGTTCTACAGGTTTTTATAAGCTAAGAAGAAGTCTTAAAAGATAAGGAGTTATGTGATTATATATATGTAATTAGTATAAAATTCTTCAGCAGTTCTTATCTATCACTCCTACCAAGGAAAGTTGAAATCAGGGTACTCGGTCTCGCGAATGAACACTTAATCACAAGATCACTCAGCCGGAAGTACAAGTCTAACTTCAGTCAATTTGTGATATTATGTGACTATCTTCTGTTGTTTGTGGTGAATAAGTTCTTCACAGCAGACATAATTCAATTCTACTGGTCATAACTTCTCAATAGATCTCCAGAAATTTCCGTTTTGAAGATAGTCATTAGTAAGCACATGATTATTATCAGTATACGGATTGTGGACACCCATATAATTTGGTTTTTAATGTGCACTTCCGAGATGTATATATTAAAACAAAGTAGCTAACTAGTACTTCCAGGTCATCAATGATTGTTCAGTTAATATCGCTTCGTGACCTTAAATGCCCCCAAATGCTCTGCTACGGCCGGGAGTGGGGAGATTCAGCTCTCCCTCTCGAAATGCCTTCCGTCAGGAAAGTCCTACTCAATGCCTTCTCGTGGCATTACTGTTGTTTACGAAATTCAGAGGACGAAAAGCGTATGTCCAGCGCTTTAACCGGGTTGGTGGACATGGAGAGTCCACCTATGGGAGTTAAAAAACCCTGATCCCAAACCAATGGTGCACATGGACTCCAGGATTTTGAAGCAACAAATGGCGTATTAACCAATTATTGGTCATTGGCTACCATGGGACTTCATCTCCTGACGTTGCTCCACTGCCTTGTGGATCAGACCTTCAGGTTGAAGGTTCCTGTTGTGGCCTCCTAAGAGAACCATCTGCTTTGGTTTGAGAACTCAGGTAGTATCACATCACTCACACATATCAAATGAGATCTGTGTGGCGCATATGTATTTGGTGCTTCCTTGTACCAATATCTATGTGTTAAAATAAATAATAAAAATGATTTCAATGAAATGACACAGGCAATTATTATTTTCATTGTTATTACGCAATCTTTTTCTTCTTCTTGTTTTGATGTTTAAAATTTAAACATGCATCGATTTCAATTTTGTTTAATCTTACTTTTTATGCTCTGATGTTCCCTTTACTTTATTTTTACTAAAGCATGTTATACTTCTATTTGTATCAGTATTACTTTTTATAATTTTAGGTTGTTTTGTAAATGAAGTGAATTCATTAAATAGAGTGATTCCATTTTATTCTCGGTAGCAGTCTCGTTTTCTTCCTACTTTGTTTCTATGACAATGATAACATTATTGTATTGTTTTTTTGATGTAGTTTTGTTCCATCAAAATTATCCACCTGATTTACAAATCTTCTCTACCACCCTACTATTGTATTACATTAAAATAATTTCGAAAAAAAGGAATCAGTCACTAACCAAACCATCTAGCTCAGAGAACAAAACTACAACGAGAAATTATCCACCTGAGATAAAAATCTCCACTATCTCAGGAATCAATCATCTTAACTGTTCACTCCTTATTATAAGTCGGTTTTTTTTAAAAAAAATACAAAATAACTTTAAATTCTGTTTCTAATCAGAAGAAAAACAAATAGGAGAATAAACGAGAACATCCCATGAAAATGTTGTTCACATTCATCACTGATTTCTGATGTTCCTTTCAGAACTATTCGTGAATTAAACTGAAGCATACACATAAAGAAAATAATACTAATTTTAATTGTTTATTGTCGGATTAAAAATAATGAAAGATGAAACTTTGTAAAATTAAATAGAAGTAAATAGTTT